TAGAAGCTGCAAGGGAAGATGATGGCTGAGCCATGTTGAAGCTTGTTTTTGTTACTGTTTTAAAGAGGGATACATTTTTAAAAATATTTGTCCTCTCTGTCAATGTGACTCCCATACTGCTGGATAAGGCCCTTGGAACTGTCAAAAAGGGGTCTGTTTGAAATCACCATGAATTTCAAATGGCTCGGTTGAGTTTGAGTTCCCTTCATGTGGATTTCACAGTCTGCTATCTTCCTCCAGCTGGCAAAAATTTAATGTCAGAATGAGGATCTGAGTTCGTTCACCACCTTTTAAGGTCAAAATATCTGGCCCTAAGTGTCGTAAGAATTCTGAACTTTGGCCAGGCCTCCTCATCTTCAATTTACCACTCAAAGTTTTATCTTTGAATTTGGAGAAAAAACTCCTTAAAAAGGAGAGGATAATGCTTCATGGCTTCCCCTCCTCCAACACACACACACGCACCCACAAACACACACATGCACTCACCCAGACTCTCACACACACACGCATGCACACACCCACACACACATCCACATTCGCATGCACACAAACATAGACACAGACACACACAAAAATACACAGTCACACACAGACTTGCATACACACAGACATACACACACTCACACACACATCCACAGACATACACACACACACACACACACACACACACACCCCCCCCCCCACACATACTCACCCATATTCGCATGCATACACACAAACATAGACACAGACACACACAAAAACGCACACTCACACACATCCACAGACACACAGACATGCATACACACACACACACACACACACACAGAGACACACAGATATGCATACACACACACACACACACACACGCGCGCACACACACGCACACACTCACCCACATTCACATGCATACAGACAAACATACACACAGACACACACAAAAATACACACTGACACACATCCAGAGACACACAGACATGCATACACACACACATCCACAGACATACACACACACACACATCCTCAGACACATAGACATGCATACACACACACACACTCACTCACACACAGACACATGTGCGCACACACACACACACACACTCTCACATCCATAGGCACATACACACACAGACACATGCTTACTCACACACACACACACACATATGCACACACAATACTCACACACATGCACAAACGCTCACCCACCCACAGACACACACACACAGACACTCACCCACACTCAGCCACACACACACACTCACCCACACACAGACACATGCACACATGCTCACCCACACATACACACACACATGCTCACACACACGCACTCACCCACCCACCCACACACACACACTCACCCACAGACATACAGACATGCATACACACACACATCCATAGACACACAGACATACATACACACACACACACCCACAGACACACAGACACACACACACGCAAACATGCTCACTCACCCACACATACACACACACGCTCACACACACGCA